AACCCCCACCCCTTCCCAGGACAAAAGCCTGGGCCAAAGCTTAGTCCTGAAATGGCACAAAGGAGTCAGGCAGAAGAGAGTGCCCCTGGACACGTGTAGAGTGCACCGCTTGGATTATTCCGAGGCAGCCCTTTCCTGCCCATCAAAAAACAAAGAGGAGGGAAATCATGGCTTTGAAGTTGTCGGGAGCTGTGAGGCTCCCTCTGAAGAAAAGGAGACCCCTCCCCAAAGTATTGGTGCCCTTAGAAAAAGTAGGGGGGCTGCCTCTCTCCTCCTGCGGAGGGCAGAGAAAGCCCCCCCCAGCTGGTGGTTTCACTGGGACAGGAGCCCCGATGATTTCCAGGCAAGGGTAATTAGGGCGTCTTGGGAAGGAAATTATCCTTCTGTATTTGGCAGCGACTGTAGTGGTGCCAGGTGAGCCAGGGCAGGGGGCCGGGGGCTCTGCCCTGCGGCACGTCTGCCTACCAGCGCCACGCATGATCCTGCTGAGTTACGACACCCGGGTGGGCGAGGAGAGATATTTATAGCTGCCCATAAATTTGTCTGACTCCTAATAAGTCGAGGTAATGGTCACCCTTTAGTGCCTTTTGCTGTGATTCCTGAAATGCCTGTTAATTAAGAGGCAAAGCCAGTCTGGTCCCCCTGCTCCCCCTGCCGCCCCCCCCCGCCCTCCTGGCCCAATTACTCAGTGTCGATTCCTCAGAGGACAGTCAGGCCAGGATGAACTTGCTTTGAAACGCCCTCCCTGCCTGCCTGCCCATCCCTTGCAGAAACTCCGGCAAGCGTCGTTGTCAGGAAGGAAGAAGGTGGCTGACCTTCCTGCTTGGCCCACCCCAACCCTGGTCCTCTCTCAGCAGGAGGGTGTGACATTTGACTTGGCCCCCTCACCAGACCCCCCCTCTCCCTCTCTCAGGAAAGAGATCTTGGTGTGCTGGTGGACAGCTCGATGAAAGGGTCAACCCAGTGTGCAGCAGCAGTGGAGGAGAAGGCCAAAAGAAGAACAGACCATGGAAAATATTTCTTGACCCAGCACGTTGTTAGTCTGTGGAACGCCTTGCCACAGGATGTGGGGATGGCCTCTGGCCTAGAGGCCTTTCAGAGGGGGACTGGACAGATTTCTGGAGAAAAAGTCCATTGCAGGGGACAAGTCACGATGGGGATGTATCATCTCCAGGCTTAAAAAGACGGTACTTCAAAATGCTAGATGCAAGGGAGGGGGATGAGGAGACAGCGTGGGCTCCCAGAGGCATCTATAGGTTCTCTCCTCCTACACCTGAGGGAATGGATGAGGCGCTTTGGGGATCCAAGAGACGTCGTCCAAGTATTAGCAGAGGGGCTTGGATGAAGGGGGCAGCAGAAGGGGAAATGGCCCCTGTGGACTGGCCCCTAGCGCCCCTTCCCTTCGGGGCCCAGGGGTCTGGCCAGAAGGAGGGAAGCAAAGAGCTGGGCCTCGCCGGGCGGACACGGCCTGCCTGCGGTCGGAAATCCTGCTCCTCAGCGACCAAAGGGGAGTCCCTTTTCTGACTGAGGGAAAGGGGCTAGCCACCCTCCCCTGCCAGANGAAAAGCCCCCGCCTGTCCATCCTGAGAGCCAGCGACTGACAGACTAAAGACAGCCTGCTTCACGCTGGCCTGCCACCTGGGCTCCTCAGGGGTCAGCAGAAGCAGCTCCTTCCCCCCCTCCCTCCCCACCAAGACACACACACACACACACACATACGGGTGCCAGCCTTGTTCCCCCCCCCGACATTCTCTTGTTGGGCCAGCCGTGGGGAGGATGCTCCAGGACACCCAGCGACTGACAGACTAAAGACAGCCTGCTTCACGCTGGCCTGCCACCTGGGCTCCTCAGGGGTCAGCAGAAGCAGCTCCTTCCCCCCCTCCCTCCCCACCAAGACACACACACACACACACACATACGGGTGCCAGCCTTGTTCCCCCCCCCGACATTCTCTTGTTGGGCCAGCCGTGGGGAGGATGCTCCAGGACACCCCTCTGCTCCCCATCTGCAAATGGGACGGGCAGCCCCAGCTTCCTCCTGACCGGAAGAGTCCTTGAGAAGCACCGGCCCCCTGGTAAAGCAACCTCCAAACACAAGCCGAGGCAAACCCTCCCGAGCCCTCCTCAGCCTCCTGGCACGACTGGTCGCAGGGGGGCACGGCTGCCTGGAGGCGAAGCCCTCCCTACGGCTGAATCCCAGAGGGGGTCCAGTTGCCTGTGGTGCAAACAGAGCCCAGGGGGCCACAGGGGACCTCGCTCAGACCCTGCTCCAAGACTCCCCCTGCCTTCTTAACGGGTCTGCGGGCCAAGGGGGTCCCGGATGTGCCAACTCTGACCGGCAGCCTCTCCCAAGCCAGTCAGCGGCCTGGTGTACCCAAGCCACCCCTACACTCGTCCTGGGAGCCGAGACTTTGCAGTCTGCAGGGATGGGGGCAAAATTGCTCTGTCTCAGCCCCAGAAGGACAACAGCCTCCACAGGCCCTCCACAGCAAAGGAAGGAAGGAAGGAAGGAAGGAGATGATGAATGGATGGATGGATGGATGGATGGAAGGAAGGAAGGAGAGGAAGGAAGGAAGGAAGGAAATGATGGATGGATGGATGGATGGAAGGAAGGAAGGAAGGAAGGAAGGAAATGCTAATTCCAGACACCTTGGTTGGGATTAGCCACACTCTGAGGCAGCAGCTGTGGGGGCTCTGATGTCACCTTGCACAAGAGGCGATGGCTTCTCGAGCAGAAAGGGGGAGGCCTCGAGAACCCCCAAAGGAAAAAGGGGCAGCCCAGGCCAGCTGACTTGACACATGGAGGTGTGCCCAGCAGGGAGGTGGGCAGGCTTTGGCCCAGCAGGCTGCCAGGACCAGCTCGACCAGGCCTCTCCCGAAACTCCAACTGGCCAGCAAAGCAA